GCCGTTGGAGCGGGGCTGAGGGGGGAGAGTGCCGGGGTGCCGCCGAGAGAGGTGGGCCGGGTGTTGACGGTGTCTGGGTTCTTCCACCTGACTCTAGGGGATGTGTTTCAAGATGGACGCCCATGGCGGGGAAATGGCACTTCAAACTAAAATTTGGTATTTACGTGAATTACGTGTTTACCGTTAGCCATCAACAGTTCTGGGAACTTCCCACAACAGCACAGGCATCAGTTCTGTGTTCCTTCCAGGTATCCAGAAATGCTGTGCGTGTCAGGGAGTCCATGTGGACAAAATGGGATTAACTCATCTGATCTTCTTTTTGATGCAGTATTTGGTTTACACTGGAAGGCCTTTCGGGTGGTTCCCTCTGGATCTCTGTCCTTGTACTTCAGAACATGTAATGCTTCATATCTGGCATTGTTTCTGATGGTGCCATAATTATAATACAAATGTCCTAGCCTATAAAAGCAAATCTTCACAAATAAAATGTCGCTAATCCTCTGTGTTTTCCCATCTTTGTGCAAATGTGGGTTTTTTCCCTATGTTTATGAATTACATCCACCATAGTGAGATGCAGCAGCACAGCGCTCGGGGTGCCTGGGTAAGCATGGCACGAGAAATTGCTCTAGATTCATGCTGAAGGCTGCCCAGTCGTCTCAAGTGCAAAAGGGATCACTCAAGCTAGAGAACCAAAGAGAAGCAGTTGTGTTAACCTTGTTGTTTGCTTTCATGCACATAGCTACAGGAATTTGTGTGCCTTTAATTCTTCAGGTTCCATGGGTACCTAGGCTCAGATGGGCCTTTGACTTTCTGATTTACTTGAAAGTAGGAAAACAACTGCATGTTAGAAGAACGCTAAGATGCACCCCTCTCTTTCATTCTCTATAGCTGCTGAGAGTGAAGGTGACTCTGAAAGCTCTTTCCTACTACAAAAAAGGTAGTAGAGAGGATTACGAGTCAGCTTATGTGCCTTTATTTCTCTCCATAGCCACCTAGGAGAACTCACAGTTCAACCCAGAATGATGAAAGCTGTCCCTGACTGAAACTTACAGGCTAATTAGACGCAGAGGCCTGGGAAGCTGGATAAAGGCAACTGAAGCTCCTTAGATCAGGACCGTTATTTATAGTGGTTTTTTTGTTGAAGACCTTTAAGCTCCAGTGAAGGTGTTGGTTGGCCATGCCCGTAGAGATGTCACTGCCTAGTTAGATGCCTCTGCATACCCTGTCAGCTATCATAATGCCTGAGAGCTAATTCTTCGTGTGGCTTTTTAGCCCCTCTTTTCTGGGACCAAAGCCTCCCCTTCCACTCTGAGTGGCAATGTGAACGTCAGTCTGCCATCCCCTCGTCCTGTTTAATTTAATAGGAATTTTAATTTAATAGGAATTGCAGTGCTGACAAGACTGTAGCTTTCTGTATGAAGATTTTATCTAGCAATAGGAGGATGGTGACACTGGAAGGGATTGCAGAGATGTGTT